ATGTTCAAATGGTTGCTAAATTCGAATTCAGCTCCAAAAACTAGCCTAGAAACATGTAAAACTCGAAAAAGTGAACCGAGTCACCCGAGGTCACCAAGGTCAATGACCTGACCTGACCTTCAGGTGACCTTGACACCCACCCTAATGCATGGGAGCAACATCAAATCACATGTTTGAACGTTTGAAACCACGAAAAGCTTGCAAATGCGCGGCTAATGCGAGCCGACAGGCACCGAACCGCGATTTCGGCCAAACATGGTCACAGAAAAGAGGTCACAGGTCAAAGGTCATTGGGATCAGGGTCATGAAATTTTCAGGGTAGGTGTAAAATTGATCAATGCGAGGGTACTGAAAGTTTCGTCGCGATCGGCCGCTTTTTACGTGAGTTATTCGCGAAAACCTTAGGGGGGGTTGCATCAACCCCCCCCCCTGTGCCGGCGAGGGTTAAGGGGGGGGGGGGCACTGCCGACTTTTCGTCCCATTCTTTCCATGCAACGCTCATAGGGCTAATGTTAAAATGCAAAAATCAAAGGGGGGTACGGTGCCCCAGTGCCCTCCCCGTTCCGCCGCCTATGGACAGATATTATGTCGTTTGCTAAGTTCTAAATACCCTTACCAGAATCAATTTATTCAACTGCTGCCGATGGCACAGCAGATGACAAGCTATGGTAAGCCATGTGCAGCACGCATTAGACCACATCCTATGCACCAGCGTTATGTAAACATAAGCTCTGACTTCACAACACTTTTTTGTTATATAATATATTAGCCGTTTTCACGACGGGCTATCCGGCGAATGCACCTGATTTGACCAAATCTGCACATAATTTCTTTTACAGCAAATATCTTCATTTTATGAATTCCTTTCAGTGTTTTAATCGAAGATGCGCTCTGATAATGTGACAAAGCAGGCATGTAAGCAATTAGTGCAACCCTAGCTGATAGCTCTGCTAAGAGACAAACTGAACCTGATTTGACCAAATCTGCACCTAATCTCTACCAGATGTGCACCAAATGTGTACCAGATGGCCGTCGTGAAAACGGCTATTGTGTGTTAATTTGGCTAAATTCTTTAATTTAGTCCTTTATAACTGATCACTTTTTCTTCGGTGAATATGGTGAATGCGAAGTGATCAATTTCTACTGGATTTGATCGCAGTGATTTTGTGATTATTTGCATCTAGTGAGAAACAGGACCGTTTTGAGCTTGACTTATATGCATAAAGAATCGATGCAAAATGTTAACGCTACGAGTCGTTACGTTTAGGCACCGACTAAAAATCTGGTGTCCCTTAACTGTTTCAGGAAATGGTTTCATTACACAAGAAAATTAAGGCATAAACGTGTAGTATGCACGGGTCAACAAAAACACTTATCAATCTCCAACCACTCTGACCCACTTTCTTTCGATAACTATGTACTTTGTGCATTTCTTCATCCCAAGCTATATCACCAACTAACTGATTTTCGGTCTTTGTGTGCTAATGCATCGAGCTGCCCCCTCTAGCCACGCAGGGCCGGTCGCCTGCTGCGCCGCTGCGTGATTGGCTAATTTCGGAATCCGCCGGCGGCGGCGCCACTTCCGGCGGAAGTGTCTGATCGGAAATGGCGCCAGTCGGGCAGCAGGGCGCGCCAGGAGCGCGCCGGCGCGCCCTCGGGGCCGGAACCCGTCCAGTTACTGCACTAATGGAGGAATAGAGGAAAAAACAACACTTGTGGACGTTTGTCCCAGTGTTGTGTAGAAATGACTAGCTTTGACAGATTTCTGGAGTCTCTGTGGAACGGGTGTAGGTAAATTGAATATCATATGGACTCTGGACAAATTTGGTAACTGGTTACCGGTTAGCTAAGCTCTTATTTGGGATACTTGATGCTCACGCCTAATCAATTTTGCGCTTGCTTCATTAAATCATATCATCCAATAAAGGTACATTATTACTAGCAAACTTAAAGTTTCAGGTATCAACCTTGAGAGGTAATTTTTGTAACGTTTGATTATATGGTCATACCCAAACAATGCGATTTTTCCAAATTTAGTGCATGCTTGACTGCTGAAGTGATATTTGATGTGTATGCAGGCTTGGCCCACAGTGGTCGGTCATCGATTGAGATAGAAATCTTGCCTTATCTTTATTGCTAACAGTAGCACAAGGATTGATGACATCCTTTCAAAATCGTTTTTTAATCTCGAGAAATTGTCATCTCTCTCTCTCTCTCTCTCTCTCTCTCTCTCTCTCTCTCTCTCTCTCTCTCTCTCTCTCTCTCTCTCTCTCTCTCTCTCTCTCTCTCTTCTCTCTCTCTCTCTTTCTCTCTCTCTCTTCCACCCTCTCTCTCTCTCTTTCTCTTTCCCTCTCTCTCTCTCTCCTTCTCTCTTGCCATCCTCTGTCTCTGTCTCCTCCGCTTTATCTCTCTCCCTGTTTCTTTCTCTCTTTTCTCTTTCCCTCTTAATGTTTCAGTCACAGGGCGCTTTTGTCAGAGGATGCTGTGGAAGAATAAATGTAAATTACACACGAGTACCTACCCATCTATCACAGGATGAAGCACTTAAGCTCTCCACTCTCCAGTTCTATTGATTTAAGGATTTTTTTTTTTTGGCATCTTTTTCTCGAATATCGAACCAAAACACGTCTGAACTTTAAGATTTGGAAAGGCTTCAGCCTGTAGTCGTATAGTCTAGAATAGTCTCGCTATGGTTACATTTACCTTCAGCTCATCTTTGTTTCACAATCACCAGAAAAGTGGCGCAGTCACTGCATTTATGGAAACTCGCACACTTGTCAGTTCACTTTTGAGCGGGACCAATTCCCGTGACTGGCTGTAATGCCGGGGTTTTCAAGCGTGACACACTATTTGCCTGATGGTATTACCTCGTCGCGACGTTTACCTAGCTGCATGTCGGCCAGCCGAACAAGCAATTCGCCAGAAAGCTGGCCGAACCGTGATAAGACGTCATTTGTCGGCTGGCGGTGCCGCGTGCGCCGGCGACGCATGGAACAAATGGAAGACGTGATGCCGGACGGCGCTGGGAACCGGTCCGCGTCCCACTCGCACCAAACGATTTTAAATGGCGAAATGATTTCCGAATTCATTTGTCTGTCCACTCGTGCTCGAGCTGACGTTGCCATGACGACCGCACGACGCCGAGACGCCGGCCAGATGCCGGCCGGTGTTTGCGAAGGACGGTCGGCAAACACGTTTGGCATATTGCAGGCCGGTTTTATTGGCCGTCCCTTGTGACAGACAGGCGTTCCCTGGGGTGGGCTGGCCAGCGACCTGTTTTTGTTAGGAGTTGGTGCAGTCCGACGCGTATCGCACGGCCCTCTCAGATTGTCGGCACTCGTGGGCCGCCCGCAGGCTCGATGTGTCACGCGACCGGACATGGTAGTTGAATGTCAGGAAGGCGTCGAAATGGTCGCTACGCTACAATATGACACTGAATCGGCCATATATTACGTTCCGCCGCTCGTGTGTTCGGATTAGTTACATTGAGCGTGACAGTAGGTATGCAAGTGTTGTGGTAATTCATCAAGCTCGCTGCTGCAGGCGAAGAAAATTACTGGAAATGCTACGCAGCAATAAATGGATTGGCGAGTGAATTGGTATTATTATGAAAGCGTGCCCTTTCTGTTATATGAAACTAATGCAGAGTTAAATAAAGAAACGATTTGCCGAATTACAAATACATTAGGCAAGTAAATGTGCATTAGAAACGGATTTGGGACTGGTACCCGAAATAAATTTCGTTTGCAGCTCCGATTTTTTGCTTACATATCTGATACCAGTTGGAAGTATACCATTTAGCCGTTTTCACGACGGCCATCTGGTACACATTTGGTGCACATCTGGTACAGATTAGGTGCAGATTTGGTCAAATTAGGCTCAGTGTGTCTCTTAGCAGTTATCAGCTTGGGTTGCACTAATTGCTTATATGCCTGCTTGGTCATATTATCAGAAAGCATCATCGATTAAAATTTAAAACACTGAAATAAATTCATAAAATGAAGTTGAAGATATTTGCTGTAAAAGAGATTAGGTGTAAATTTGGTCAAATTATGTGCATTCGCCGGATAGTCTATCGTGAAAACGGCTAAGGTGACCCGAACTGCAGCCAGCCAGGGTCCGAGCACTGCATCGCTTTCGCCGACTCTTGCTATTAGCGAAGCGGCTTTCAGGAAAAGCTGCATCTGTGGTATCTTACCATGACAGATATGCTTCATTTAGCTCTAGGTTCTTTGAACGATCTGCTTCCATATTGACGCTTCTGACGACAAGGAAAGGCTTATACATAGTTTGCATCATTCGTCTTACTGTATGGTCGGTTGGACAATGGACAACGACCTCATGACAGCAATAGAGCTAGCAGCCATCTTTGAAGCGTCTGGCAAGTTTTGGTTTCAGCCACAGATGACAGTAGTACAGCATATGCCGATTGAACGAAATATGACCAAAGCGTTCGGCACAGCATGCCAGGTGATTGGGTGAATCTATTCACAACTGTTGGGTGATAAAATAAGTCATTGTTAAAACAGAGTGGGACTCCATAGCTTTACCAACCTTATCAGCGTGTTATGTGAGTGCCAGATCTAATTTACTCGCTGAATGCTTATCATGAGACATGAGCCATGCGTAACTAAGCATTCATAAACACTTTTTTATCTCACAGCAGTTCATGCAGGCGAGGTTGTTCCGAAGGCCTATGCATGTAATTTGTATGCCTCACTATACGCGTATGGTTGATGTTATTGCTTGACATTCTGAGCGCCTCGCCAGGATCTCGCGCTGGCATATGTAGGTATTTCGGAGCTCATGTATCATTCCCTTTGCCGGTCTGTCAGCCTGTCGGTGTGCCTGTCTGCCTGTCAGTCTCTCTGTCTGTCTGTCTGTCTCCTGCCCTCATGTCTGACATTCACTTAACTCATCAAACCCCGCCTGCGGTCGTCTACCCTCGTCAAAGCCGGCCGTCTCCTCTGACCCGTCTGCCCCCCCCCCCCCCTCTGCAGAGCCAGTGACGGAGATCCTGGGCGGACCGGAGCTCTTCATTGACACTGAGAGCACCATTAACCTGACCTGCGTGGTGCGCCGGTCGCCGGAGCCGCCCCCGTTCATCTTCTGGAAACACAACGACCAGGTCAGACGCGCACTTTTGACCTGCGGAGCAGTAACGTTTGCTGAAAGAACACAAAGGACGACACTTAACTTAATTGAAATTATTTCGGAAAACGGATGCCTACATGTTTGAACAATCGAAAATAGGCATTCATTTTTTATATCGGCGTGACTGAAAAGTGAAAACTTGATGTTTTGTTTCACTTTTGCTCTACTTGAACGTTTTTATTGTAACTAAAAAAACTAAGTGGTCACTAATGCTGTCCCAGGTGATGAAACTTTCAATATGCTGTGGGTTATTGGTCACTAGAAGATCAGCACTGGTGGCAAGAATGGCAAGATGCTTTTACTTTCATAATAAATGTCAAGAACATGAGTCATGCCTGGCATCGGAAAGAAAAGAGCATTTATAAAATGGAGTGATTCCAAGAACATTGCCGCGTAAAAGCTAAAAGGGGTCCTTTGTGATATGAACCATGAATAACTTCGACAGGAAAATCGACGATGGGAGGTCCCGGCATTTGTTACTCAGCCGAAAATGGTACCGGTGAATCAATGGTTTAGTGATCACATGGGTACTTAGGGTGAAATATGCCAGTCCAGACTCTAGTCCCAAGAATGCCTTATTTCTGAGACAGGAAGCTATCTAGCTGTTGCATGAACTTGAGGTCTCCGGGGTGTATCTTCAGAATGCGATGAGCGCTGTCTGCGCTCTATTCTGCATAAGCGAAAAACGGGCTGAGTTTTTCACCAAAATGACAATGGGACTCACCTTATTGCCAAACTGTCTTATAGAAGGCAAATGTCTAATCATTTATAGGAAGAAAATTTTACTTAGTAAAGATATTGATAGTTCATGTTAAGTCCCCGCAAAATCAATATTAATAATGGAAAAACGTCTATTAAATTCATGAAAAAGGAGCCGCCCATCGCCCACTTGAATTAGTCGCTGTTTACACTAGGTAAAGGTTGATACTTTCCTGGCTATAAAATGATTATATTTACAGCAACACTTAACGCCTTCATATCGACTTTGTCTTCTTGTGAAGCAAAGGCATTTTTGGTCAAAAACATTGCTCCTCTCTATTGTCAAACTTGATATACGATCTACCCCATTTCCGTCAACGGTAAATGTCACCTGACCGCGGCCAGGTGTGGCCCGCTGGGAGGTGCATGCTGCCAATCTGGTATTGGTGCCATAGATCGCCACCTTTGGCCGCAGTGACCACATTCACCGGCCCCCACCCACGGACGGCGGCCCTAATATCGGTCGGGAATTATGAATATTTTAGTGCTGAGCTGAGCGATGATATGTTGGCGACAGCACCGCACCGTCCTGCGTGGCTGCAATCGTACACAGCCGGCCTGAGACCCGACTCTGTAACAGTCCCTGCGCGGGGCCAGCGCGAGCCCGGCGCCCCTCCCTACCCTACACGCACACAACTCAATAAAGACGGGTCGGAACACATTCCTGAGACCCACCTGGGGTGAAAGCAGCCCCTGGCCAGCGAGGGAGGGTGGTGGGGTTGATGACTCAGGTCTGGAAATCCCGACTTCTCAAGGTCATAGGGGTAGTTTCCATGAATTGGCAGTACTTTCACTCTGCCAAAACATGCCAGGTCGCCGGCCCCTGCGCACGCACACTGCGCGTGGACTGGTAAACACTGTGACTACTGATAGTGGTGTGGGGGCTTTAAATTTATTGACGATTGGGGAACATAAAAATGTGTGAACGTTATAAGATGGTCACCATGTCGCCCATTCAGGTCTACATATACATAGGTATATAGCATGTGAATTTAAATACACTCAATAAATCAAATGCAAAATATGCATTGGCCGTTTTCACGACGGAATAGCAGGCATCTATTTGATACCAATATAATCCTTTGGTTCCTCAGGAATTTTAGTAGTTCTTTTTAGTAGGTTTACCAGCTTTCGAATGAATGGCGCGTTAGTTTGCTATTTTTCTATTAAATATCACATCGATTTACTTTATCTAAGGATTTATCACTAACATCAACATAAAGCGTAAGCACAATTATAAAATTATGAAATTATTAAATACTAGTACAATAGTTAAAAAAAGATACTGAGTTGCCACACTACAAAAGATTTATTCATTTATGGCGCACGACAGACATTTAGAAAGCAGCGCCCTGTTTTATTGCACGCTGCTAGCCGCTTCCATTGGGTTTTGCAGGCCGACGTTATTGGTTGTTACACGTATGATGTCACGCGATTTGTGGCCTATCACGGCTCTTTAATGATCTCCACTAAATGAATGCAACAATGGCCTTTTAAGTTGATATCTGTGGCCATCTGTCTATGGAGCGACCAATATGAAAGTTAGATGAATTTACCGGGGTTACATGACTATGAGCAAGCAAATGTGTATCAGGAATGGATTCAGGTGGAGAATTGCGCTGGACCATGAGTGCTCGAGCGCTCCCAATTCCACGCCGGTTTGGCTTTGGAGCCGAGACAGACGATGCGGGTCAAGGTCACCGCTGGGGTAACGCTGGATTGGCTGCGCCCGAGCACCCGTAACGCGGCACAATTCTCCATCTATGGATTTTCCTATTCGCTCAGCATTGTGATACCTAGGTGTTCGTAATAGCAATTACTCTGCTTATGTACTTATCCCCGGTTATTTAAAAGAAGTTTTTGTGAGGGGATATCACGGCTATAGGTAGGTACTCAGTTGCCCTATTCACGACTTTCAAAGAATGCTCCGATATCTAAATACCGCACAGACCTACTGCATTGGTGAATCTGACAAAAGGTCTGTGGAATTACATTCCCCCTCACCACACCCCTAAAAACTCATCCAGTGTCCAAAACCACTTTTATCGACTCGCCAAAAAAAACAAAAAAAACACACACACACACACACACACAAAGCATGGGGCATGTCAGCTCTCAGTTCATTTATCATTGTCTTTACCATGGTTCAATTGCATTGCGCGATTTAAAGCACGTTAGTGCCTATATAGTATATATGTAGAAAATAATATCTACAGCAAAACATCCAAAATTACAAAGGCTACAATGCTTAAAAAGTAGGTTCATCAAGGAAGCCCATTTTTACTTGCGTTGTGTTGCCAACCATGCGATTTCAACGCGGGCTATTCGCAACGTCTGTTAAGGCACGTTAACAACTGACAAGCCGCCACCGCTGCCACTTATTCATAGATGGTTGATATCGCAGCTTGGGCGTCAGCAGCGCGGCCCACAACGCGTCGGCGCCAGCGCACGCAGCTGTTGGCACTCGGCAGCCGGTGTTGCGACTTAACGGCCGGCCGGCCCCATGAAGGAGAAGCTCTTGGTGAAGCTTTGTGATCGCCTCATAGCCGCCTTGGATGTCATCTTTCTTGGCAGATCCATCCGTTCAGATGGTACGGTGCAGTCTGGATAAAGGACGAAGTCCAACGCCGCTAACCCCGCGACCGCCACCCCACAACGTGGCCGCAGACCGAACGGGTGTGAGGGCCGTAAGGGCCACCCCGCCATCCGGTAGGTGGCTGAGCAGCCGGGCGCAGCGGCGACTGGGCGGCGGCCGCGCTGAGATGAAGTCCCAAACCGCCATGTCGCCATCACCGCCATCACCATTGCTGCAGCTGTTCCCAACCGCCTCAATCGCCGCCGTTTTGCCAGCAGTCGCGCCGCGGAATGGCAGAAGCTCCAGAGTAGCCTCCAGCGCCCCTCTCCGCACGTGTGCAGGTGCACTGCGGCCGCCGGGTCCGACGTCCAGGCAGAACATGATATTTCCATGCTGCTCCGACGGTGGGCTGGTCTTGTTTGGGCGTTCCTCCACTGTGACGTCGGTCACGCCTGCCCCGGCCAGGGCGCCGAGGCCGACGTGTCACCATCCGGTTGCAGTCCTCAGTTGGGTCGCAACGTGTACCTCTTCCGCAGCGTGGAGCGCGCTCCCGCTGGGCAGCGATACAGCCAAAAGTAGCATAGCATGCGGGCGGCCAGCGCTGCGCCGGACAGCGGACCCATGCCGGGGGTATGCCGGTCTCGGCCATTAGCGGGGTCGTCGGGGCCGAGGCTGTACATACAGCTGGTGACCGCGTGAGCCGCCAATCGAAGCTCACGGCTTATAAGCTCGACGCGGGCATCACACGCCGTCCCGATGGGAGCTCCACGACGCCGCCGCGAACTCCAGCGCGGCTCGCAGCGCGAAGACCAGTACGGACGGCCGGGGCAAACGGCGTGCGGGAGTCGCAGGCGACGTTCTGCGGACAGAAAGGGTTGGGCATAAGCTGGTCGGCAGGACACTCTTGAGCCGAGCCTTTGATGTAATTACAGATGATCCAGAAGCATGCACAAAAATTCATGACACACTATTCTCATTTATGTATTTGCTACATATGATATGATATACCAGCTCATGATCAGTGACGCATTCTGGGCAATATGTTTTAAAGTGAAGTAACTGAAGTTACAGCTTAAAAGCTTAAAAAAAAACAGCTTAAAAAAAACACACACACATTCGATAGCTTATGAGAATAACATGCCTTGTGTGCTTAATGCAGGAAAATATTTTTTTCACTTTTTTAGAAACAGCAAAAGAGTTGTCAACAAGCCATGTCAACTATCTAAACAATTTTTATGGAAACTGCTCTAGCTAGCTTCAAGTTCCACAACGTTTCCGGAGCACCGTACCCAAACTCAGTTCATGTTACAAGAAAAAACAGTAATAATGCCTCCTAATTTTGAATGAAATATAGGTATGAGTAATTTGATTTGGAAAGCAACAAATTTCCGCACATCATTTTAGCAAAATTACTATTTTCTTCAGCCATCAGGTTACACAAAACTATAGTAAACTTTATGATCTAGTTTACACAAAACCAAAGCCCCGATTTTAACAAATGTAGATAAAATTTAAACAATTTTAAAAAATGTATCGTGGAGAAAATGAAAAGTGTAGATTTGTAAAGCCGGGATATTTCAATTTCACGGATTAGGCACTTAAAGAAATATCTTCACCTTTCTTTGAGCCACCAGCCTTCA